AAAAGGCAAACCGTGGTTCTCTTACAGAGAAGAATTCATTGATTCGCTCATGAGGCCAGTAAGTCATCTGATATACCTTCATGTACTTCTGATGGGGCAGGAGTGTTTGTAGACAACAGGCACACAAATATAAGATTCAGCCCAGTGCACCTCAGGAGCAGCCTTCCATGGATCAGTGGCTGGTACCAGCGTGCTCCTGTCCTTGCCGATCTGAACATATGAGTAGTAACCTTAAGCAGTCTCCTGACTTGTCTCAGTCTCCCGACTTGTGATAACGTTTCCGATTCTTGTTCCTGACTGTAGAATGAAGTTTGGAGAGATGTCATTAGGTCTCTACGTTCTGAGGATTACTGTGGTGTAGGTAGAGGGAGAGAAGCGTGTTGGGGCCAGATGTTCCCATGCTTCTACCAGAAACTTGATTTGCCCAGTGTACCACCCTCACTTGGTGGGCGTGAGCAGAATGATCTGCCACTGACAACCCAGAGAAAGAAGATACAGCACAGGCTTGCCGTGGTGGGCTCTTGGATGCTCTGAGCTGCAACAGCATCCAGGGCCAGGTGGTACTTGGTAGGGCCGACCCCTCACCCGCTGTTTCTGATCATACTGCCTTTGAAAGAGGAAGGTGGGTGATAAAGACAAGATGATGAGATAGGGTGGCCTCACACCCAACTGGAACATTTGCAAATGATACTTGGCGAAAGCTTTAGGAAAGAGGCCACTTCATTTATGACACTAGCTAATGTTTTACCTTAGTCATATGTTGCTTGATTCCTCAGTTTGCTATCTGCTGGCTGACCCATACAACTTTACTTTTAATTAAAGGTGGGCTGTGATCAGAGTCATGATCTGTGAGTGGCTTCCATGGCAGAAAGTTCTATGCAGTTCTTGGGGGATGTAAGTAGGAGGTGCTAAAACTAATATGTCCATATATTATAAACTGTTTTCTCTCTTCTTTCCCTCCTCTAACCATTCCTGCCTTCTTCATCTTTCTAACTTTCCTGAGGCATTTTACATCAGATTTCAGATATAGAACAACGGATGTTAAAACAAACCCAAATTCCTAATGCTTGTTATCATGAAAACATGGCAACACAGTTCACATTTTCTTTTGAAATGGCCTATATGGGTCAGCGCAGGCATTAACATAGGAGCTCATTGTTTGCATCCTCTGGGTCCTTGTAGTTCATATGCTGGGCCAATGTATAGAGGCACACAGAAGGGCTGAGAATGTGGCCATGAGGTATGTAACAACAAGGCCCAAAGCCTGGGCTTTGGTGTCTAGCAGACCTGGGTTTGAATGTCAACTCTTTGTCTTCCTATGTGACCTTGTCAGTTACTCGTCTCTCTGTGTCTCTCCTCTCCTATAAACCAGGAGGCACAAATGCCACTCATGTCACAGGGCTGTTGCTGGCACACACCCTTGCACCTTGTGCTCTCTCTCTAGGATTCAGTTTCTCAATTTGGCTTCTACATTTACAGGTTGGAGATTATTCCAGAAACACAGATGAAAGATTTTTTTGGGGGGGAAGTTTCTCAGCTTTGCAAATTTCAGAGATTTCCAGCAGTGTTTGATGCGACGTTCCAGCACTGTTCCAGACTGCGATATGATCTTGGCAAAATCTCGTATACTCTTTGAAGGATCTCAGTTATCCTATCTCGGATATGAATTGGTTAGTCTGGAACATGGTTTGGGAACCTATGAGGACAGAGAATGTCATTTTGGAGGGATAATTTCACAGGATGTAAGAGTATGAGTTGAAAGTTGGCTTTTTTTTTTTTTTTTTTTTTTTTTTTTTTTTTTTTTTTTTTTTGAGACAGAGTCTCACTCTGTGGCCCAGGCTTGAGTTCAGTAGGGCAATCTCGGCTTACTACAACCTTCGCCTCCTGGTTTCAAGCATTTGTCCTGCCTCAGCCTCCCAAGTAGCTAGGCTTACAGATGTGTGCCACCATGCACGGCTCATTTTTGTGTTTTTAGTGGAGATGGGGTTTCACCATGTTGGGCAGGCTGCTCTTGAACTCCTGACATCAGGTGATCTGCCCCCCACGGCCTCCCAAAGTGCTGGGATTACAGGTATGAGCCACCACACCCGGCTGAAAGCTATTTTCTTTAAGCCCTTGAAAAAAGTTGTGCCGCTTCCTTTTGGTATCCATGGTTTCTGATGAGCAATCCCCTTTTTGGAATTGTTTTGTCCATATAGGTAAGGTGTCACTTCTCTCTCATTGCTTCCAAAATTTTATTATTATTATTATTATTATTATTATTGTCATTATTCTTTTAAAGACAAGATCTCACTTCATTGCTCAGGCTACAGAGCAGTGTTGCAATTATAGCTCAGTATAACCTTGAACTTCTGGGCTCAAGCAATCCCCCTGCCTCAGTCTCCCAGGTAGTTAGGACTACAGGTATGAACTGCCATGCCTTGCTATTTTTGTTTGTTTTTATTTAATAGTTCTCAAAACTTTAACTCAAATGTTTTCATGTAGATTTCTTTGGATTTATTCTGTTTGGGGTTTGTTCAGTTTCTGAAGTCTGTAGGCTATATCTTTTGTTAACTTTGGGAAATTTTCAGCCATTATTTCTTTGAATGATTTTTCAGTCTCATGCTTTTTTTCATCTCCTGTGGAACCCTTATGACACAGATGTGAGATCTTTGTTCATAGTCCCGCAGGTCCCCAAATCTCAGTCCATTTTGTTTTCCCATGTTTTTTCTATTCATTTTTCAGATTGGGAAATTTATGTTCTATCTTCAAGTTGACTGGTTCTTTACTCTGTTCTGTCTATTCAGGCGTGATTCCTTTATAGCATTTTAAAAATTTTAGTTATGGTATTTTTCAGTTCCAGAATTTCCATTTGGTTCTTCATTATGTCTTCTATTTTTTTCTTTTTTGGCTGAGACTTTCTATTTTTAATTTGTTTCAAATGTGTTCTTCATTGCTCAATGAAGCATTTATATAATGGTTGTTTTCAATTTGTTTTGCAGATAATTCTGACATGTTTGTCATCAGTGTTGATATCTATTGATTGTATGGTGTTATTCCATTTGAGATCTTCCTGGTCCTGGGTATGATGTGTGACTTTAGATTAAAATCTAGACATTTTCATTTTATGTTACTAGGCTTGAGGTATTATTTAAACTTTGTTTTAGCTGGCATCCTCTGACATTACTCCAGCAGAAGAAAGGGGAGGATTGTGCTACATTACTGCATGGTGAGTGTGGTAGTAGTATACATTTCCCACATGGCCTCCATTGATCCCTGAAATGGGTGGTGGGGGGCCCTTGTTTCTTCTGGGCAGGAGTGGACTTTTTAGATCTGATCTTGGGCCATACTAATACCTCTGTGGCTGGGATGGTTTGATATTTTTCAGCACTGTATCCACCATTACCTGCAGGGACACCTTGGGGGATGGGAACTTGCTATTGCCTGGCAGGGATGAAAGTGCCAGCTCCCTAATTGGCCACCTCCAACAGCACCAAGGTAGACAGGAGGGATGTTACAGGTTAGCAAGGATGTTACACTGAGCCCCCTAGTTGGCCTTTACTGGCATGTATAGAAGTGGGGATCAAACTACATTTCTGTGGTTTAGAGTAAAGCAGTTTACTGTCTAAAAGTTTCCTATCTTGCTAAGTTACAACTTTCCTGGTCCTCTGGCTCTGGTCCTTCTTTCTTCCCTCCCTTCCTTCCCCCCTTTCCTCCCTCTTTTCCTTCATTCCTTCTTTCTTCTTTTTTCTGTGCCTGCTGACATTTCTGGATCCCAGCTTCTTCAGTTCCATGCCTGATATATATGGGCAAAGAAAGAAAAAAAGAAAAAGAGAGGGAGACAAAAAGAGAGAAAGGGAAGAAGGGAAAAGGAGAGGAGAGAAGAAAGAAAGAGAGAAAGAGAGAAGGAAAGGGAGGGAGGAAGAGAAAAGGAGAGGAGGGGGAAGAGAAAAGGAGAGGAGAGGGAAAGAGACAAAGAAGGGAAGGGAGGAAGGGAAAAAGAGGAGAGGGAAAGAGACAGGGAGAGAGAGAAAGGGAAGAACAGAGGAAGGGCAGAAGGAGAGGAGCCGGGAGGGAAAGAGTGAGAGAGAGAGGGGAAGGGATGAAGGGGAAAGGAGAGGAGGGGAAAGGGAAACAGAGTGTGTGTGTGTGTATGTCCCCCAATGTGATACAATGGGAGAATACAACAGCCTATGTAGTACACGTGTCAAAAATGTTTACCCTGAATGCAGTCATATGGGAGGAATCCAGGCTGTGGGACGCTGTATAAGACACCTGGCTTGGATACTTATAAAAAGATGAGGTCAGGGAGATAATGGAGCCAGAACACGGAAGGCCACTGTGACGACTTCTACCCAGACCGAGAAAGAAACATAAGAGGCTCCGGTGCCGGGCTGTGACATGACTTGACTTGGGTTTTAATGGGATCACTGTGGCTGCTCTGAGGTGGAAAACCTAAAGGGGATCGAGGGCACAAGCAAGCAGACCATTTAGCAAGCTGTTACAGTACGTCAGCACAAGATGGCGGCAGTCTGGACCAAGGCGGTGGCAGGGGAAGTGGTGGGAAGTGGTACACACAGAGTCTGAATGGAGTCACTGGCTTGCTCACAGACTGACTATTGCGTACGGAGTAAGAGAAAAACAGGGTTTGAGATGATTCCAGGATATTGTTGGCATGAGTCACAAGTCCCATTTCTTGAGGACAAGAAGAGTGTTGAGGGAAAGGCTGAAGATGCAAGATGTGAAGTGTAGCTCTGGACATGTTAGACTGGCCAAGCGGGAAAGGCTGTTGGAAACAAAAGTCTGAAGTTCAGGGAAAAGATACAGGCTAGAGATAAAATTTGGAAATAAACCGAAAGGCAGTACAGTTACACAACTTTCTAAATTGCTGAACACTTCCCAAAAAAAGTTGTAGAAAAGATTCTCAACCAATCAGAAGATCTTTCCCAGCAAACAAAGGGCTGACATCATGCCTTGAAATTGTTAACCTTTCTATCAACGACATGAAAGAAGGCAGGGGCATGCAGTGCACACAAATCAACTGTGCAGAAAGTAAAATTGGGTAGTACAAAGCAAGTTCAGAAAGATCCAGAAGGCCAGAATGATGGTCCAGAACCAAGACAAATTTAAATAGGAATCAATACACAGTACAGGATTTAGATGTTAAGGATGGATTAAATGCCTAAGTCCAGAAAGGGGGCAACCTGGTTTAGCGTGGTTCATAGAAGAGGCACTCCAAAAAGAGCAAACGTCATACATTATTTCAGAGATAGTACACAGCTTGTCTCTGAAATGCACTGGGAAGATCGAGTCAGCATAGAACTCACAAGAACTCACACAGGTTGCCCACACCATCCAGGAAGGGTATCTGGTCCAAGTGATATTCTGGAAGTGCTTTCTCAAACTGAAACTTTTTGGGAGACGGAGACCAGGACAACCACGGGTCTAAATACTACCTTGTGACAAATAGGTGAAGGACTGGGGATTCCAGCCTGGAGAAGAGAAAGTATTGGTGGAGGGATGGGGCAGAGGTCGTCACTGCTGTTTTCAAAGCTTTGAAGGACTGGCACATGGAAGTCAAAGGAAACTTGTCCTTCACTGCTGGGGAGGGCAGGGTAGAATCACCTAGCAGATTTCACAGATCCAGTGGTTCACCAAATTGATGAGCTGTCAAAATGGAAAATGTACCCCCCACAAAGAAGGCTGAGTCCCTACCAAAAGGGTGTAGCCAGGAAAAGGATTCTATTCATCCGTTATGGGGGCAGCCCCTTCCTCTAAGCTCTGGAGCAGACTCCTGTAAGCTGTACTACAGCCCTCCCCATCTTGGGGATGCACCTGATCCTTTGTCCATCATCACCCCACAAGGCTCCTTGTGGACAGGGGCCATACTTGTCAGTTCTAGTTCTGTCACTCTTTCCTCACCCAGAGCATGAGAGATGCTCAGGAAGCATGTGCTGACCACAAAATGTTGAGAAGAAATTCCAACACAAGGCAGGAAGGGGGGTCTGTGTAACCCCTCAGCCTGTGAGTCAATAAAGTGGTTCACATATAAAGTAAAGGCACTCTTGCTGTCAAGCACAATCATTTCAGCATATTTGATACCTGGCTCCATCAGCTCTGAGGCGGAATGAAAAGGGTCGACATAAGGGAAAAGCTTCTCGCCTGTCTCCGGAAGTGAAGCTGTCCTTCCAGGAACGTAGAACATGAGCGGAACACGGGTAGCAACATCAAAATTGCTGTATTTGGCCCATTCTCCGTGCTCACCTAGAGCCCACCCTAGTTCATAAAAAGCACAGAATCATAGAAAATGAATAATCATCATACCACAGCTTGTTTATTTTAGAAACCATTTCACTTCCTGTTGTAAAAACCAGAGGGAGTAGAAACTCATCACCTAGAAGAAAAAAAATTCACTTGGATTTACCATAGAAAGTGTGATCTCAGCTGAATGCTGCTTTATTCAAAGTCAGCTATTTGTCCTCAATGAGGAAACTTTAAAAAAAGAAAACATAATTAAATTCCCAAACCCAAATATCTGAACACACTACTAGCAACAAATGCGTAATGTTGGTCTCCGAGGTGGTCCCCACGCAGATATGCCCCCGCTGCTGAGACACACTCATTCTTGACCGGGTGGGAACCCTGAAATCTGTAGTGTCACCACTGCCCTGTCCTGTACTTACCGATCTTTGACTCCTTCCCTAAGAGGTCAAGTTTTCAGTTTCGGGTATGTGCCACCTAAAACTGAGCTGCGGAACTGCAACACAATCATCAAATTCAAAACAGCCAAGGACATCCTGGTTGATTTTTAAGACATACCATAGATAAAGTAAACCAAAACCTCTGATTCCAGATCCTTAACCCCAATTGAAAACAATCCTTCCGGCCTATTTGAAACATCCCTTACAAAAGATGGTTTGAATACTCCAAGTTGGAAATGACCAGTCTTTTAAAGTTACAGCACCCTTTTTGATACAAAAAATGTGCATGACAGAAATTGGACACTGAGTAGTGTTGTAAAAATAACCAAACACACCAATGGCTGCCAAGGGTAAATTAGAGAAAGTGTTGAAATATACCGTGCAGCATGAGACCTTGCTGGCTCTACGTAACAGATGACGCTGGGGCTGCAAATGGTGTCCCAGCCTCCCAGGGTCTGTGGTCTCCCGAACAGCGTTAAAACCTGTTCTGAGTTGACAGTGCTCTCCTAAGAAGACCCCAAGTCGAGAGGAAGCTCTTACCTACCAATCAATAATCAAAGCAGACTTGATACCCGTCAGAGATGCCCAGTGATTGTGGTGAACACTTCCTCTCTCTGGCTGTCAGTATTGGGGACTGCAGTGGGAATTTTCAGATAGCTCAGTGGAGCTCAGGGAGAGAGGGAGTTCCCCCTACCCCAGTCAGTCAGCCCTGTGGGCCTAGGAGTAGCCCCACTTCTCGACCTCTCCACTCTCTCCGGGAGGATGAGGCAGCCTTGACCCACCAGGGCTGATGAACGGGTAGGCTGTAGGCAGGCTCCTAGGGCACCAGCTTAGAGGTCACGTTGTCCCTTTTAGAGTCAGTGTGGCGGGAATCTAAAAGGTCGAGGATTGAGGAACCTGCAGGATGGCAAAGTGAGGGACCCCAGCAGTGGGACCTCAGGAATCTATCCCCAGAAGTCTGACTGGGGCACCCGTGGAGGCTCTGAAGGTACAGGAGTCGGGCACTCTTTGGCACTCTGAATACTGGCAGGCAGACCTCGGCCTCTGTCAGCTATTGTGAGCTGCCCTGCACCAGGTAGAGGTGGCCCCCAGGCCCGGCACAGAGCCTAGCACATGGCACATGCTGCAGAAATAGCTGTGAACTGCCTGACTGCAAGATTGCATTGACTTATCTCGTGCTGGGCCTCAGCCTGTGCTGCTGCAGCCAGGAGCAAATACAGGGGAAACTCTGGCTAAGGAGAACATGTGCCTGTGTGGGCCCCAAGGATCCATCTTGAGATCAGGAGGAACAAGAGCCCAATGACCTTGACAGGCAGCTCAGGAGGTTTCTGGCTCCTGCCCCAGAGGCCCGAGATGAGGACGTGGCAACACAGGGAGGCCCAGGGAATGGCGAGCTTGAGGAGAGGTGACCAGACCATTTGAGAGTCTTGAAAGTACATTTTCCCATGCTCAGACCTGTGAGCTTCTGGGAGCAGGTGCAGAAAGCAGATTACACTCACCATTCTGACCTAATTCACAGAGTGGGCAGCAGCCCCCACCTGAGCAACAAGTCAGCAACAGCAATGCTTGCCATATGGGAGGACCTCAGGACCACTGACATGGTCACATAGCCATTGTTCTTGAAGTACTGGGGGATGGTAGAGAAGTTTCCAGCGTGTACCCTCCAGTAGGAGTTGAAGTCGTACAGGCAGGCAGTGTCTGGTCTCCTGCTGGTGAGAAAGGACATGTGGCTTGGGAGCACACTGCTTGCTGTTAGGGAACAGAAGCAGAGGTAAATGTCCTCACAGCAAAATAAGTCTGCCACCTCTTAGGTAACCAAGCAACCGCCCTCCTGAGGCCCCTGGCAAATAGCTTTGTAGCTGAGTCATGCAGCTCTCAAACCAGCAACTGGGATTTGGATGTTACCTGGCAACAGAGTCTTGCCAGAGAGAGAAAGGGAAGCAATCAGCCCCTCAACCCAGCAGATGCTTGTATCCTCCCACGCAATGACCTCCCCAGGCTTTTATCGTCCTATGCAATGGCCTCCCCAGGCTTTCTTCCTCCTATACAATGGCCTCCACAGGAACAGAGTGGCCAGTGTTGCTGGGGGCAGACTCATGATGGGGTTTAGGGAGCAGAGCCACCATGTCTGGCTCTCACCTGAGGCTGGGTTGGTAGACCTGTGGGTGGCCTTCAGCAGCACCCCTTCATTCTGAGCACCAGGCAAGCCCCTGTTCTGGGAGAAAGCTGGCCAGGGCTATTGTGAGCACATCAGGGCCCAGGCACCCTTGTAAGTCAAGCTTTTCCATGAGTGGACAACCAGATGTTCTCGACCACCATTTTCCAGACTATGCTTCCCTCTAACAAGATGTCCCACACAATCCTCGCCATCTAACAATAGTTGAACCTCCCCAACTATCAGCGCATGAGAAGGCACACACCCACACCTAGAGGTTCTCAGACATAGCTGCACAAAGGCATTCTGGAAGAGGAGGCTGTGGGATTCCTTCACTAGTTTTTCCCTGCAACTTAAAAGGATAGGACATGTGCTCTTGAAAATAACACTTGTAAGAGAGTGAGGTAAGTAGAGTTGGGAATAAAGTGGAGTTGTGGAGTTGTTCTATGACGGTTGAATCAGAAGTCTCAGTCAGTTCCTCAGGGAGCTCTGTGGTTGGGAAGATGCTATAGAGATATTGCGAGTAGAGGCTGGAGTCCAGGTGATGGTACTCCGCACCTTTCATTGACCCGTTGACTGATATTTGGAGAGAGACTTAGCTGTGTACCATCATCAAGCAACACCTTTGGCAACCAGAATGATTACCTCAGCCATCAGGCAGGGCTGTGGGACGATCACAGCATCTACTACAGCCCATGCCTTGCAGGCCTTAGATGGACTTTCTTCACACAGGATGCTCCCCTCATTTGGGAATAACTTCTCCAGGATTTGGCTTGGCCCTTCTCTAAGGAAGTGGTTATGAGGCAGGGTAGTGGGAGGGTGTATGGCCTGCATGACTGCAACTGGCTTTGAAGCCACAACTGATGCTCATGGCGTCCCTCATCTATGCATCCTAGAGTACCCTCAGTCTCAGCCACCATGTCTGCTGTTCTCAGTGACTTGGCTGGTTGAGTTAACACAGATCTTTATCCCGGAGGGTTGATTCTCAGCCTGTGGTCCCCATGCCCTTCTCAGACTGTGGAAAACTGCATGTGTTCATTTACCATAAAAATTGGGAAAGGAATTATTAGGGAACATTCAAATGAATCACCTGGGTGCCAAATATATCCTACTCTCTTCACAGTGTATAAGAGCCACCCTGCCTCCTCCTCATGATCAGAGCCAATACCCCTGACAGGATGGCTACTCTTCTTTATGCCTGCTAGTCCCTTAGCATGAGGAACCCAAGGTTCCTATGACTTGTAACTCAGTTATCAGCCATGGCTCATAGTTCAATGGGACTCCTACTGTGTCTACTGGTGGAAGCATTCCCATTTGAATAGCTAGGATGCACTGTTGAATAAGGTAGCCACTAGCTACATATGGCTACTGAGTACTTGAAATGTACCTGATGCGTCTGAGGAATTGAATTTTCATTATCTAAACTTCAGATAATGTATACACTAGTTTTATCTGAATTTAAACTTAAACAGATGAATTTGGCTAGTGGTGACTGTATTGTAGGGATAGGAATTACAAATTCCCATGTGGATCACTAGGAGAGATAATAAGTGGGGACATTCACCCCTTGGTCCCCTGCTTCCAGACCCAAAGAGGCCTACATGGCATTGTGCTTCCTTAAGTGTGAGATACAATCATTTGCCTCTGACTTTGGAGGGGTAGTCCTACCATGCCCCTGACCAGTAGCCCCTTAAATACTTCATTGATATGGAAGTCCTCTGAATCTTTACAGGCTTCATCTACCACCCTCTGAAGTGCTCATGTCTTTCAAAGGCCTGTAACATCCCTACCGTGTCTTGCTCATCCAGTTGTTAACATGATGTCATTGATACAGTGGACTCTGGAACCTAAGTAGGGAAACACTTGTAAGTGACCAATTGCTTCACCTGTAGTATGCAGACCAGATCAGGAAGCCTCTACCATTGCTTCTGTGTACTGGGAAAGCTATTTTCAGTGTGCAGACTTCATGACAGATTTGCCCAGATCAGGGGTGGGATGCCCAGGCTCCTGGTTGTTGGAAGGGCTCTACCTTGAGTACAGAAATCCACACCAACTCACTCCCTTCTCCAAGGGGATCCTCACCCTGAGGAATTTAACTAGGTCTTGCTAACATGCTGGGAGACTGTCCCTGAGAAAAAGAGCAGTGAAGGCACACATGAATTTCGTGTTGCATACCTACAGTGTGCTGGAAAAAAGACCATTGGATTTTTACCTCGTACTTTTGATGTTTGGCTGCCGTTGATTCTAGTTTGGGGGTGAAAGAGGTGACATATGTATTGTGACCTTTCTTGGGGACTGCTAGTCTCGGGGACAAACTGCCAAAATCAAGCTAGGCAATGGTGGCCAGAGCTATGGGATGGAGAGCAAGGGACAGGACATAGAAGCTGACAGCGGGAGGCCCAGGCAGTACCCATATTACAGTGGTTGGGGACAAAATAAGGAATCAGAGTACGTGTAACAGGAGCAGGTCAGAGAGTCTGCAGAAAGAACCTATGGCTCCTAGGAGAGCTTACAGGGGAGCGTTCCTTGAGCACTCAGATGCCAAAGAGATTGGCAGAGGCAGGAAGAACATCTTCCCAAGTAAAAGGTAATAGCAGTTAATTTTGATTTCATGGAAGGTGTCTCCCACTCCATAGGGAGACAGGCAGTGAACAGAGTACAGAATGATGTCCTGCAGTGCTGGGAAACAGGCCTATCTGTGACTTGGTCCTCAGTCCCTGCAGGGAGGGTCAAAAGAGCTAAGTACCCAATTTCTACAAAAGGGCCCTTGCCCCAGGCCAGGCCTGGGAGAAGGTATGTAGACAATCCCTACCCGCAGTTCTCTAACAAACGTATCTGCCTCAAAACTGACATATTCTCAGCTGGTGGAAGCATCCAGAAAAGATAACACATGGCCCCATGTGCAGCTGCAGGGCACTGGGGGTGCCACTCTGGAGACACAGAACTTGGACAATGTTCCCCATCTTCTATTAATGTTCAAACTGTGGTAAAATATATATCATATAAAAGTCACCATCTTAACTATTTTTAAGTGTCCAGTTCGGTGGCGTTCAGTACCTGCACATCGATGTACAATCATTGCCCCACTAGCCCCTATTATTTTTTAAAAACATTAAACTTTTATTCGTATTTTATATTTAGAGGGTACATTTGTGAGTTTGTTATAGGGTATATTGCATGATGCTGAAGTTTGGGGTTTGATCGAACCTGTCACTGAGGTAGTGAGCATAGTACCTAACAGGTAGCTTTTTAACCCACATCCTCCTCCCTCTCCTCTCTTGCAGTTCCCAGTGTCTGTTGTTCCCTTCTTTATGTCCATGTGTACCCAGTGATTAGCTCCCACTTATAAGCAAGCACATGTGGTATCTGATCTTGTGTTAGTTTGCTTAGAATAATGACTTCCAGCTCCATCACTTGCTGAAAAGGACATGGTATCATCCTTTTTACGGCTGTGTAGTACTGATGGCATAGATGCACCACATTTCTTTATCCAGTCCATTGCAGATGGAACCTTAGGTTGATTCCATGTCTTTGCTTTTGTGAATAGTGCTGCAGTGAACATACCAGTGCATGTGTCTTTTTGGTAGAACAATTTATTTTCTTTTGGATGTATAAGCAGTAATGGGATTGCTGAGTTAAATGGTAGTTCTGTTTTACATTCTTTGAGAAATCTCCAAAGTGCTTTCCACAGTGGCTGAACTAATTTACACTCCCACCAACTGTGTGTAAGTGTTTTCTTTTCTCCACAGCCTCGCCAGCATATGTTGTTCTTTTGACTTTTTAATAATAGCCATTCTAACTGGTGTGAGATAGCATCTCACTGTGGTTTTGATTTGCATTTTTCTCATGTGATATTGAGCATTTTATCATGGTTGCTGGCTGCTTGTATGTTTTCTTTTGAGAAGTGTCTGTTCGTGTCCTTTGCCTGATTTTTAATGGGGTTATTTGTTTTTAGCTTGTTGATTTAAGTTCCTTGTAGATTCTGGATATTAGACCTTTGTTGGATGCACAGTTTGCAAATATTTTCTCTTGTTCTGTAGATTGTCTGTTTACTCTGTTGATAGTTTATTTTGCTGTGCAAAAGCTTGTTAGTTTAACTAGCTTCCTACTCATCAGTTTTTGTGTTGCAATTGTTTTTGAGGACTTAGTCATGAGTTCTTTGCAAAAGCTGATGTCCAGAAGAGTATTTACTAGGTTTTCTTCTAGGATTTTTGTAGTTTTAGGTCTTACATTTAAATCTTTAGCCCATCTTGAGTTGATTTTTGTATATGGTGTTAGGTAAGGATCCAATTTCATTCTTCCGTGTATGGTTAGCCACTTTTCCCAGAACCATCTTTGAATAGTAATTCCTTTCACTATTATTTATTTTTGTTGACATTGTCAAAGACTTTGTTGTAGGTGTGCTTCATTATTCCTGGGCTTTCTTTTCTGTTCCATTGATGTATGTGTCTGTTTTTGTTCTAGTACTATGCTGTTTTGGTTACTATAGCCTTGCAGTATAGCATAAAGTTGGATAATGTGTTGCTTCTGGCTTTATTCTTTTTGCTTAGGATTCTTTTGGCATTCTGTCTTTTCTTCTTCTTCTTTTATTTTTTTGTTCCATACAAATTTTAGGA